TCATTGGCTGTTAGCAGCACCCATGATGAACCTATTGTGTTCATCAAAGCTTATCGCTTGCACACACCACCTGGCATGTCAACGCCTGTATAGGTGAACACACTTTTGCTGAACTTCTGGTTGTGTCTTTTTCTGTAGACATGACGAAACGGTATCTTTTCCAGATGGAGTTCTACATTGCTCTGTTGGGCGTGCTGTTGGCTGTGGGCACAGCCGACGGGGCCGATACGTTTCCACCGCCTTGCGACAGGTCAGTTCACACTCCGGTGTTGAGGTCCAAACAACCCGTCCGCGCGCGGGCGGTCATGCTCAGGCGGTATAACACTGGGCCTCCAACCTCAGGCAGGGATCAGACCATGGCCAGGCAGTCCTGCAGGGCGCTGGTAGCGCCGACCGTCCAGCTTTCGCGCGCGACCGCGAAACGAGTCAAGATTCAAGTTCGGCTAAATTGGAGGCGATTCACTTTTTCTGTTGAAGTTGAGGTAGGCTGTTTCTAGGTTTTTGATAAAGTAACAAAACTTGGGCGAGTGCGACTCAGATTTTTGAGACGACTTCTCAGATTTTTGAAGTCCCTCCAGTGGGTATTTGCTTTAACATTGGGCCCTCTGCAATGTACGTGCGCTATTGGCGTGATATCGACATGTGGTCAATGATCTAAAAAACTGTTCCGCACCTATGAATGTCAACACGAAATGGGCACCGGTAAGAATAATGTTAAAGCGTTTAAGTGTTGATTTCAGCATTTTCAATGCCTTTATTCAGCTTGTTAAACTGACATTGTCACAATGTGGCATACGGCTACGAGGAAGCACTCGAATGCCCTTTTCCTGAGCTTGAAGACTATTGCTGATGCATCCATTTCCTCTTGGCTCATTCGTGTCATCATTAATGACGACACCCGGGGAGGAAATTACACCATCCCAAAACAGCATTCGGGGCCGCGTTTGAAGGTGTTGTCAGCAGTACCACAAATATCTTGATTTGCCCGTGAAGATGTGCACTTTAAACAAACTGCAAGTCCGGGAATTCGAAAACTGTGACGCTTCGTTACTCAATGAATAATGTTACTTATACTGTAACGTAAGTGAGTCATGTTTAATGGCTATAATTTTGTTTTGCCCGCCATCCCGAAAACAAACTAACAAAATTTTACAAATCTTTTGCGATCTGTTTCAATCCCCAAAAAGCTGAAACACCCCCTTTATGGCACCTGCGTAAGTTATCCGATGCATGGTACCATGAACCACACCCCGGTTGTGAAATGTTTACGAGCTCCAGGCGGCCAGAGGGAAAGTCCCCTCCAACAGTTCGTGGTTTGCCAGTCTGCGGCCGGGGATTGCCATCAGGACTCAATATACACCCAAAGTAGTGCCGCGGCCCCTCTGGCACTTGTGGGACACCGACCGTCGGACAAAGTCAGCCGCACAAACCTGCCCCGCGGCCAGCGCTCAGCTGACCGAACGTGACGCGGCTCTCTCAGCTCTCTCTCAAGGATTGTGTCGCTTCAGCAACTGTGCCCAAGCTGCGTGTTGTCAATGTCATCCGATGTTTTAAAGCAACCGGGGAGGTGGCATGGAGATGCCACGGTGGCATGTCTCTGTTCCTTTCGCTTTGGTATGCCTCTTTTCCCTTCGCTCTGACATGCCTCTGTTCCCTTCGTTCTGACATGCCTCTTTCCCTTAGCTCTGGCATGCCTCTGTTCTCTTCGCTCTAGCATGCCTCAGTTCTCTTCGTTCTGGCATGCCCCTCTCTCAGCTCCGCTCTGGCATGCCCCTCTCTCAGCTCCATTTTGGCATGCCCCTCTCTCAGCTCCGCTCTGGTATGCCCCTCTTTCAGCTCCGCTCAGGCATGGCCCCTCCTTTCAGCTTCGCTCAGGCATGGCCCCTCCTTTCAGCTTCGCTCTGGCATGCCCTTGTCTCCCTATTCCCGACAGTTTTATTGGGCCATTACAGTGACATGCCGTATTTCAGCGATATCTACTGTCAGGGTCCGCTGCTGCACACCGTGCAGATGGCGCGGATCCACAACGACTCGAAGCACTTCGTCGACATGAGCATGCGGTTGTCGCCCGAGGAGGTGAAGGCTGCCTTCCAGACGATGATGGCCCGGACGGCCGGGCAACCGTCCAGAGAGGACGTGCGCGACTTCCTGGATCGTAACTTCCAGCAGCCGGGCAGCGAGTTCGTCGCCTGGAACCCGTCCGACTGGGTCGATAAGTGAGTTTGGGCTCTGTAGGCTGTGGACTTTCGTTGTAAATAGCAAGTCTGTGTTCTCAAGGAATTCAAGTCTCACAACGTGCCCATTCAAAAGTGATGGATGTGTCCAATGTTCGGTGAGTGTCGGATGACTGTTGTGGTGCTTTCCATAGTTTTGTCTTGTACTTAGGCTTAAGAACGATTTGGACATGCTATCCAGTTCAAAGGCGCAAAACAATGGCCAGCTTCGGGTCAGTTAAAGAGGGCTCAGCGTCCAATTGGCTGTCCCTGCAGCAATCCTTGAAGCTGGCACCATGAATATAAATCGGGTGGAGTTTGGGAGAGGATTCCTACCTGAAGTCAGTTATGGAAAAAGGTTTGGTGATATCAGCTGGTTTAGTTGTCGTGAATGATTCAGCACTGCAACATCCGTCGCACCATGGGCTTATCTTCGGAGGCGATTGACGTATCGCCTGTGTTCGGTTTAACCATATGCCTGTGCGGCTCCTTGAAATCGGGGTATGTGATGCCCTGAAACCCGCGGGATCTCGAAACCTATTTAATTGATCAGCTCTCAGGGGTGCCCAAACGAAATCATGCCTCTCAGTATCCAATCCACGACTTCAAACAAGACATTTGGTTTTGGTAAGCAGACAATGCCATCAAGCGGCGTGCGTGGTCGACGCTGCCTATACAAGTGACGCTTCACGGATTATGGCCGGCATGTCATGCCTTCGCGCCCACTCTAACTTTCTAACCACAGCTATAAGATTAATTTTTACAGCTGCATACAAGAGACAACTCTGATCGCAGGGTTGCCAACTGGGCAATAAGGTCATGCTGTGACCACGTTTTTGCAACGCCAAAATGTTTCAGAAAAGATCAAGAGAAAAAGCGCGGTTTGACATGGCTGACAAAACATGGCTGGCAAGTCACGACGCATACTGACAGCACACGAAATATATATAATGATATGCACCTGTTACTCAACTCAATGCGTGCGCTGAATCAAGACCGGTACCACCATCTGTTTTGCATGGCTCCGTCCCAGCCACCGTCATGTATTTAGTATGTCACCATGTAACACTAGAGTACATCGCTTCGTAGCAACAGTACTTAATAACACAAGGTGTGCGATCTGTTTCCTCCTAACCATCACCTTACGAAAAGCAACGCATTTCTTGAGATTGGTTCCTTAAACATGCCTGGAGCTGTCAATGACTACACTAACATTTCAAAACAGTCTTAAAGATTTCGGAAGCTACGACCTGAGAGCCAGAGCGGGCTCTTCAGGCTTTCCTTACGGGGTAGGTGGGGCTGAGAGCTACAGGATTCTGCGAGAACGTTTTGCAGTACATGCCGAGTGTTTCTAGAACAACGTTTAAGAAGGACGTTCTGAGTTGGTTTTGTCTGGCAGCCCGGCTTTTTTGGCTCGGATCCGTGACCCGAAGCTGCGAGCCTGGATCGAGGATCTGCACGTGACCTGGAAGGATCTGGGCCGGGAGGTGGCGGGCGAGGTGTACCTCCACCCAGACCGGTACTCTCTCATCTTCGTCCCCAACCCGACCATCGTACCGGGAGGCCGCTTCCGGGAATATTACTACTGGTGAGATACTGCCAACGCTGGGAGGGCCGGCAATATTACTACTGGTGAGATACTGCCAACACTGGGAGGGCCGGCAATATTTCTATTGGTGAGATGCTGTCAACACTGGGAGGGTTTGGAATACTACTACTGGGGAGATGCTGTCAGCACTGGAAGGGCTTAGAATGCTACTAGTGTTGAGATGCTGTCAACACTGGGAGGGCTGGCAATGCAATATTTCTATTGGTGAGATGCTGTCAACACTGGGAGGGCTTAGAATACTACTACTGTTGAGATGCTGTCAACACTGGGAGGGCTTGGAATACTACTAATGGTGAGATGCTGTCAACACTGGGAGGGCTTGGAATACTAGTACTGGTGAGATGCTGTCAGCACTGGGAGGGCCGGCAATATTTCTTGTGGTGAGATACTGTCAACACTGGGAGGGCTTAGAATACTACTACTGTTGAGATGCTGTCGACACTGGGAGGGCTGGCAATGCAATATTTCTATTGGTGAGATGCTGTCAACACTGGGAGGGCTTAGAATACTACTACTGTTGAGATGCTGTCAACACTGGGAGGGCTTGGAATACTACTAGTGGTGAGATGCTGTCAACACTGGGAGGGCTTAGAATACTACTACTGGTGGGATGCTGTCAACACTGGGAGGGCTTGGAATACTACTACTGGTGAGATGCTGTCAATACTGGGAGGGCTTAGAATGCTACTACTGGTGAGATGCTGTCAATACTGGGAGGGCTTGGAATACTACTACTGGTGAGATGCTGTCAGCACTGTGAGGGCCGGGAATACTTTTACGGGTGGGATGCTGTCAACACTGGAAGGGCTTGGCGAAGTTTTGGGACCTCAGCATGACTAGGCATGGCCGGTGCTTTGCGAAGAGAAGGAAATGGACGTTGATCGTGATTAGGAGCTGTCGAGGGCCCGAAGCTGGAAGAATATCCCAAAGAGTGTACCGTTGGAGGGCTACATCAGCGATTTTTTGGTGGGAGTCTTACCGCGAGGAAGCCCCGGGTCTAGAGATCAGCAGTCGCGAAGAAACTGTTCATGGCCATAAATTAGATCTGAAAAAAATGAGAACTTGATGCCGCGTTGGCCCTTTCATTAGCATCCTTGTTTTTATCGCTTGTCTGTGCTGCTGCTGTATCACCACAGTGGCCAAACACGAACGCAAGGCACATGTCGCATTTGGCAGGGATTCGTACTGGGTGATGAAGGGCCTGCTACTCTCTGAGATGCACAACACGGTCAAGGGCATGCTGCAGAACTTCCTGGCCATGGTGGATCGCTTCGGCTTCGTGCCGAACGGTGGCCGAATCTACTACAGGCGTCGATCTCAGCCGCCTTTCCTCACCGCCATGATGAAGCTGTACATGGACGCCACCGATGACAGGGAGTTTCTCAGGTTGGTGTACATGGTTGCCACCGATGACAGGGAGTTTCTCAGGTCGGTGTACATGGGCGCCACCGATGACAAGGAGTTTCTCAGGTTGGTGTTAATGAATGCCACCGATGACAGGGAGTTGCTCAGGTCGGTGTGCGCGGACGCCACCGATGACAGGGAGTTTCTCAGGTCGGTGTGCATGGACGCCATTGATGGCAGGGAGTTTCTCAGGTCGGTGTATATGGACGCCACCGATGACAAGGAGTTTCTCAGGTCGATGTACATGGACGCCATTGATGACAGAGAGTTTCTCAGGTCGCTGTGCATGGACGCCGCCTGATGACAGAGAGTTTCTCAGTTCGGTGTGCATGGGCGCCACCGCTGGCAGAGAGTTTCTCAGGTTGGTGCCGCCGGTCGACTCTGACGGCGCGGCTGTGCGGCGAGCGTGATGGAGACGCGCGATACGACAGCTGATGTGACGCGCGGGACAACAGCTGATGCTTGTGGTTGTTTTGCTTGCTCGGCATCGATTCCGCTTTGACGGAATCGATGTGGTCCCTGATTTACGGCGCATGGGGTCGATTCCAACTCTGACACTTCTGGGTAGCTCAGCACAACTCTGGGTCGAATCTGCTTCCGATTCAGGTAGATATGGATCTGTTACGGAATTAGTTCCAAGCCTATCTCGATGACAACGGGTAAATAGATAAACTGTTATATCGCATTACGATGAACATCAGTAGAAGACATATATTTGGTGACAATGCGGTTTATCCGACTGTGTTCCATTTTATCCACATATAAGGTATCAGGCTATGTGTGTGTTCTGGTACCTACATTTCTAGTTGAGTCAGGTGGCCGGGGGACTCAACTGATCCAAGTCAACTCCAAACTGACTCAACGAAGAGTTAATTGATTGCAGAGTCGATCCCGATTTCATCCGGTCAACGCTAGTCTGTATGAGGTTTTGGGAATTATTATTATGTATCTTTGACATAATTACATGGGACCGGGTTTGTGTACACGGCCTTTTCCTGACGCCTGCTGACGCCTGCCGATGCTTGCCGATGGCTGTCGATGCCTGTCGGTGGCTGCCGATGGCTGTCGATGCCTATTGATGGCTGTCGATGGCTGCCAATGTCTGCCGATGTTGGTGCTGATGCATGGTGGTACTAATCTGACGCATAATGATGCTTTCTTGTCTGCACCCGCAGGTCAAACATCGGCTTTCTGGAACAAGAGTTTAAATTTTGGGTCCAACATCGAGGAGTGAACGTCACCAAAGACGGCAAACAGTACAAGATGTACCGGTACAACGCCCAGGTGGGCCAACCACGTCCCGAGTCGTACAGGTCAGTATGAGAGGAGGTGTGCACCTCTATTGTCTGCCGTGCTGCTAGAGTGGGACTAGCTCGTGCCAGGATGACGCGCCGATGTAACCGCCAGATGACTGTGCACTGTTTGGTAAATTAGCCTTTTTTGTTTGTTTGGCTGCGTGATAAATTAGCCATTGGAAAGAAAATAACAAGCAAGATAAAGGGCAATGTTTCGTGGTGAATATAATGCGCAACAGTTATTTGAAAGCCATATCGTGCTCCTCATATCAGTTTGAACAAGCGTCTACGACCAAAGCTTTCTAACTTTAAATTACAGATCGGTTTTCTGATACAGAAAGTCGCCTTTTGAAAAGAATCGACACCGCTGCTGTGGTGGCTCTGACCAAAGGATGACTTCGTGAAGCGACGCGCAATGCACCGGTGCACTCCGGCAGGGAGGACTACGAGCTGGTGCAGCAGACACTCGGCGGCCAGCATGCCGGGGAGGAGGAGCAGCTGTACGCTGAGCTGAAGTCGGGCGCCGAGTCCGGGTGGGACTTCTCCACTCGCTGGTTCGTCCCCGACGCCGGCCAGAAAGGTGCGAATCATGCCGGTGGGCATGTCGGGAGTTTGAGTGCCGCGTCAAGTTGATGAAACCGTTGCGAAATTTGGAGAGTTTGGTGCCCGTGCCTCTGTGCTGTCTTTTCCATCCTTTTGCAACTTAACAGCACTTTATACGGCCTTGTAGCACCTTGAAATACGTGACTGTTCCATTATTATTTGCATCGTTAAGACGTTATTGTTTGGAAGTCCAGTTAGTCAAGCTTCAAACGGAGTCAAGTTTGGTGTTAGATATGTGCGTTCATACAGGACGAAGGGCGGCCTTGTATAGGTAAGCAATAAAAAAGAGTGCTAGCTTCCAACAGATGTTACCTAGTGCACATGTCGTGGTCCAGGTACTCTGAAGGACGTGAAGACGCGGTTCATTGTGCCCGTGGACCTCAACTCGTTGATCTACCTCAACGCCCGGCTGATCTCCGAGTTTTACACCCTGCTTGGAGAGGACGCCCGTGCGGCCCAGTTTCAGGACTACGCCGAACGCCAGAAGAGGAACATCGAGGAGGTCCTGTGGGACGAGCACTCTGGCTCGTGGTTTGACTGGGACACAAAAAATGAGGTGCGTCGATGCCATTGGTGCGTAATCAGAGCCGTGGCAGGGACGCCAGGGCACTGACACTTATCTCGATGTTGCTCCGGGATGTGCAGACCCTCGGCCGCTGTCGATTTTTCGATGAGTTTTTCCATGTGTTCAAGTTCTTTCCATGTGTCTGTGTGACTATCCATGTGACTGTGACTCTATGGAATTTCCGTGTAACTATCTGACCGAACGCTTCAGACCTTCCACAGCCATCTTTAGAGAAGAACATGTTGTGGAACATCGTGATAAAATCTTCCTTTTGTATAACGTGTGGCCTCATAAATATCAAATGTCCAGCGTGGTCAGTCAGTATGCCAGTAATATCACACTTTTTGTCACGGTGAAGCGGCTAGAATTTAAACAATGTCGTTTTTCAGCGCCTGAACAAAAAATTTTACCCGTCGAACATGTTTCCGGTATGGGTAAACGCGAGTAAGCCACAGCAGAACGCCAAATTTCTGCGGTATATTCAAGATAACGTGACCAACTTTACCAGGTACGAAACAAATGGGCCATCGAACGCGTTTAGCAATTGCCCTAGGCTATATCCGTCGGTGGTGTTTTAGGATCCGCCATTATCTGGCAGACATAAAGTGCATTGTACTGAGGCCTGATGAATCAGCCAATGTGCTCCGTTCACGAAACCCTTTCAGTCCTTTGAATTAATGTCGTCATTATCATCGCACTTAATGATGCCGATGAAAGCGGGGAAAGCGAAAGATGCTCGGAGCACAAAATGGTGCCTCTTAGGTTCTACAAGGCCAAAAAGGCGAACAAGAATCATTATGAAAGCATGTAGTAAATTAACAGAACATTCCTGCGGCCTCCCAAATGTCAGGTGGGCGTGTGAAGCGTACATAAAACCGAGTTATTGTTCAACTGATTGATGGAGCGACTGTGGGCTGTTAACGGTAAGGAGTCGTCAAAGATCAGCCGCGATTTTCTTTTTGTGTTTACCTATTGTCTTTTGAAAATGATACATCTCCAATCAACAGGGATACCAACTTTGATGCCACATCCAAAATTTGCAACTAAAGGATAGCTGACTTGACGTGGGCATCCGATCACATGGCTGCGTGGCCATGTAACCAGTAGTATCCCCTCCCTTTAGAGGTCCTGTTGGCGGAGGGCTCCCCTTACCTGGCTGTGTGGCCTTACCGCCCGTAACGTATGGGCCTTACTGAAGAGGCCCAGGCGCGAGTGGGGCTATCCACAGCTGACCATGTGACGCTGCCGCCAGCGGAGTGCCCACTTCCCTGGCGAAGTCCGGCCAGGAGTGGGACTCTCCACAGCTGACCATGTGACGCTGCCGCCAGCGGAGTGCCCACTTCCCTGGAGAAGTCTGGCCAGCAGTGGGACTTTCCGAACGCCTGGCCGCCGCTCCAGCACGTGATGATCGAGTCGCTGAACAACATGGCCACTGACCAGGCCGACCAGCTGGCGTTCAATCTGACCCAGAGATGGATCGACACCAACTATCTCTGCTACATGGAGGCCAGGCCCCACGTCATGTTCGAAAAGGTGACATGTCGCTTGTGGCTGTGCGCGGCAGCTGGCGTCTTGGCACGGCTCCCAAACTTGTAACTAGGTGCGAAGGCAATCCTTGATTCCACACTTAAATGAACGCCAGTTTATAAATCCAAGACTGCCCATAAACCCGTCCGGAATCGTTTTCACGGCTGGCATTCAGACAGCCTTATATTGCAACGTTTGTTGTCAGATCCTTGGCAGAAGAGCTTCGACATCAAAGGCTCCCCTGACATGGTATGCATAGTAGACAGGCTCTACTGCTACAGCCGTCCCCTGATATGGTATGCATAACAGACAAGCTCCACGTCATAGGCGTTCCTGAAAACATCAACCCACGATGCAGCCGGGACCTTTGGCCCGGATTGCCCCGTCTGCCGCTGAATCACGCCGTATACGCCGAGTTCCCTGTTTGTTTATGAAGGCGATCATACAAAATCTGGACCCTGACCTGGGCTAGGGTATGCCCCAGGGCCTGACCGGGGTTGGGGTATGCTCCAGGTCCTGGCCAGGGCTGAGGTATGCTCCTGGTTCTGACCAGTGCTAGGGTATGCCCCAGGGTCTGACCGGGGTTGGGGTATGCTCCAGGTCCTGGCCAGGGCTGAGGTATGCTCCAGGTCCTGACCTGGGCTAGGGTATGTTCCAGATCCCCCGACCAGAGTTGGGGTATGTATGCTCCAGGTCCTCCGGTGTTTCAAAAGTATCCCGCGAACTGTTTGGTGGATCGTAACGGCGTTAGGCGGGTTCAGCTCGAAACTTCTCGCAAATGACGAACTATGTGCACTACATACACTTTCACATGGGGGCGACATTTTCTGAGGTACGGGGTGACAATGGAAAAAATTTAACTTCCTACCATCCTCTCCGATACATATCCTTAACAGGACACTGCGTGCAGTATCCCTTTTATTGGTTCTGGTAGTGGGGAGGTTACTTATTGAATAAATATAAACTGTACGTTCAACATAACATTTTCCACACACCTTACACTCAGTATCAGTATTCATTCAATTTGATGTGTAGTTCAGAACTACACATATATATATATATATATATATATATATATATATATATATATATATATATATATATATATATATATATATATATATGATAACTCACCGTATTCGTCGCCATGGGATGACTTCATATTATCACTTGAATATAAGCGGTTCCACGATCTGAGCCGAACCAGTCTCTATTTGCCTGTGGAAAGCCGCATGCTTGTTTCATTTGACACCGCTTGACAGGTCGACCACAAGCTATTTTGTTGTGAGTCCGTCAGGTTTAGACCCTGCACACCAGGCTCGTAACAATCTCAGCCTACGCTGATAAGGTGCCAGCCATAATGGCGGTATTTCATGCATTAATTCAGCAGTTCAGTATTGATGATTCCAAACCGAATTATTCAAACAAATGACGATGCTTGTACTCAGACCGGGTAAATGGCTACTGCACTGCATGAAAAATGACACCTTCCTTTGGACTGATACCTAAGCTGCGAAACAATGACAAATGTATTGAAACACGGAGTGCGATGGAAGCGAGATGCCTTGTCTCTCTTGTGTTGCCTGAGCGTGTTGTCTCCCCCTACCCCAATGACATGTTTCGATTGTATTCCACGGCCTCCATGCCCGATATGTAGCATGACACCAGCTGGTTGGTTTTACCCGATGAGGCTGTCACTGACGCCAGGCCTTTCCAGCAATCGCGCGCGCTGCCGGTATTCCAGCTGCTTGCGTCATGTTTACGCCCACCGCCTGTTCGCTGGTGATAACTCGCCGGGACGAGCTGTCTCGTCTGCAGATGTCCGTTCGCCTCGTGTTCCGCGTCGTATCCCGATGTCATAGGACAAACGCGCCTCTCTAGCATTATTTCCACGGGCGTCCCTTCTGTGCCACACTGTGACATCACGTAGTCAACCGCCCGGCTGACGTCACTCCCATCGTCTCCGCCCTTTGCCACAGTACGATGTGACCCAGATGGGCCTGCCGGGCGGCGGCGGCGAGTACAACGTGCAGGTGGGCTTCGGATGGTCGAACGGCGTGGCCATGGCGCTGGCCGAGCAGTACGGCGACCGTCTGAGGGCGCCGGGCTCTTCCGCCGGCCGTTCGGTGGCTTCCCTGATGCTGCTGCTGCTGACGCTGCTGCTGCCGTCGCTGACCGCCTGACGGGGTGCTGCCGGTCGGCTTGTATACTCAGGCAAGGCCTGCGTCACGTCGGTAGAGCTCTTCTCTGTCGCACCTGAGGTTCGGCCGTCAGCGGTGTTCTATGGAAATGAAAATATGGTGAGGGAGATGTGCGAAATGATGTACGTAATGAGCGCGAGAGTCAGATGGACGACGCTTATCAGTCGTGGTTTCAGTTAAAGAAATTCATATTTTTCTTTTCACTCTGGTTATGAAATTCCTTAGGAATTCCCCCTCCAATTTTCCAGACTTTTACACAAGCCACATAGTTTTCATGGTGTAAAAGGTGGTCATATTTCACAAAGGTGCCAGTTGTGTGTGTCGAGGCAGCCGAGCAGTCTGCTCCGCGGGTACCAGACCGCGTGGCCGAGCCAGCGCACCGTCAACTGCTGATTCGGGCAGTTGCGTCAGGCCAGTGGCAATGTTCCAAGCAGCATAAGTGGCATCACTTTTCACTAGTAGTTGAATTGCAAATAAATGAAAAATGGCGTTTTCAGTTCCAGTCGTGTAATGCCGGCGTATCGTGACGCTAGCTTATCTTCCCACTGACGCCGGTGATGCATCTTGTTAGATCGGGCAACGCATAGCTCATGTCGTCACATAGTGAGGGGTGAGCAGGAGGAGCGCCGACATCTTCCACTCGCCAGGGCGCTGAGGGCACCCCATGGGCCAGGATCAGCAGCAGTGTCCATGAACTCAGGCCACACCGACTCGCATCTTTACTTACGGGTCGCGCCAGAGCGGGACACAGACAGCACTATGCTGCACGTTATCCGGTTATTTGGAGCGTCGGCCCTATTATCCATAAATAGCTCTGTGGCTCCATCCTTAGGGGCGTAATGGCCGATTGGTTAGCGCCCTCGGCTCCCACGTGGGTCTCGGGTTCAAATCCCAGTCGCGTCCTGGTCTGAGTGCAAACGTGACTGCTGCGGTCGCTGGGACTCCATAAAAGGGTGCGTGGCGACGTAGGTGGCGTTCCGTTTTTAAAGGTAGCTCCATGCTTGAGAGCCGGCTGGTTCCTGACGTCTCCTACATCAGCAGCCATGCTCAGGGGTCAGCTCGCAGCTCCGTCAAGATTTTGCCAAGCATCAAACACGTGGTGTTATTTAGGCTGTGCAATGTATGCTGTAGGTTTTGTATAGGATGGCTTGTGCGGCTTCGGACTCAAAGCCCTTCTCAAGCATAATTTAGCGGATGTACCCTGCACCAACCATCCAAGCTGCGCCGATCCAGATGTTGCCTCCGGCCTTTTTACGAGACGGGTGCTGCGGACGAGTGCGCGCGCCACGCGCTGCTTCGGCACGGCCGCCGCGGCCCCGCCAGTTCTCTCTGGCCAGTAGCCGGCTGACCTCTCCAGGCCGGCTAATCAACAGGCGATGATGACTGACGTGTTATGTTGGATGATGCTGTATCGCCTTCTGCACAAATACACTGCTTCGTGAAAATAGTTTGACCCACACCAAGCCATATGCCCACCATGCACCGCGTCGCGCGGCTCAATGCGCATTGGCTGTAGAGCATGAAGTTATACTGATCGCGTCTGTCCCTCAGCAGCCCAGACTACGCATGACCTGGCATGATGTCTTCTTGCAACCATGACCTATTTACTTGGGTTTCGACACATCAGTCTCTTAGAACAGCCAGGCCCACAGCGTCAGTTGGGGCGTGTCGAATACACGGGGCGGGTCGGGTCAGTCCCATGCCTACCGGCTCAGCAATGGCGCACGCCCCTCAGCAGTGACACCCACCGAGTCAACTTCCGCCGCCAGCCGCGTGCCGACCCCGGGATATGGCCGTCGTCCCCGACAGGTAACTCAGAACCAGTAGCAAATCGATTGGTGAAGCTACAGCTGGGATCAGCGCCGGACGTGCGTGGTCATACAACGCGTCAGACTGACTTTGTCGTTTATTACGGTCAGCTTTGAATGATTCGGCCCAGCTACGTAGTACGGAAATATATTACGCCCGCATTGGCATTTGGTCAGGTGGGTATCGCAAAAGTTGTCACTTTTGGGCAGTAAAGTCACAGCTTAGAAAATACCGCTTAGCAATGCCAAACCAATACCTACATACCAATATCGTCAATATTCATGTCACAATAACATTTGTACACTACTTCGCTGCATGTTTAACATACGTCAATGAACATTTATATACCTCTTCAACAATTATACTAATACAATCATGCATCACATCTCTTACTAATAGTTAACTCGTCATCCTTGGCATACAGGACTGAGTGCGTGTTAACATAACTAGGCGTTATAAGGCGTCATCAACGTACATTGAGCGTGAAATGCGGCTAAGAAAACACTTGTACCGGCTTCTCATGTCCGGATTTCGGTGCAAAGCGTAGTACCTCCCTGCACAAATCACAGTACTGGCCGTCCGTGACATCCCGACTGCCGACCGCTGAAGCTCCCTGATCCCACAGTTCAACAGGCGAGTCCGGACGGCGTCTCAGGCCGCCGCCTCCGCCGCCGGCGCGGACGCGTCCCTCAGCAGCTCCAGCACCAGCTGGGAGAACCGCTCAGCGTCCCGCGGCTGCACCCGGCCGCGCAGGAAGTTCAGGTCGTAGCAGAGACGGCCTCCGACCGTGTGGAAGCAGTGGCTGCCGAAGGAGCCGTCCATAGCTGGGTGCGCCTTAAACGTGCGGTGCAGCTCGACCACGCGCACCGCCTCCGAACGCGGCAGCACGGCGTCCAGCGATCCCAAGTTATTGATGTTGTAGGCGAACGGGCTGGGCATCTGTTTCGGCTCCTTCTGTTGCGCTGCCGGGATCTTCTCCGGATTGATGAAGCGCTTTGCCAGTTTGAGCATCAGCAGGGGCATCTTGAGGTCAAGCTGGCGCTGCAAGTCGCCGCCTATGCGCGCCGCCAGCTGCCAGAAAGGGGCGGCATCGACACGCACGCGCGCCATCGCGCCACTCACCGTCGACAGGTGCATGCGCTCGGCGCGCGGCAGGTAGCGGCGCGCGTTCACCAGCCACGTGGTGTTAATGGCGACCGGCGCGGCGCCGGGACCGCGCAGCAGACGAGCGCCTGCCAGACTGACGGCGGCCGAGAGCGCCGCGTTCAGAGACACGCCGTGGCGGCGACAGTGCGCGTGCAGCCCGGTCGTCTCGCAGGCGGACAGCGACGCCGGGATCATCTGGTTGTGATAGCTCTCCGGGGGGAGGTGTGGGTCGAAGTCGGAGACGAAGGCGTCGATGAGCGGGTTCTTGCGCGGCAGGAGGACCTGCGAGGCTCTCAGCAGCGTGCGGACAAGCGGCAGGCTGAAGCGGACGCGCTCGCCGGCCACCAGCTCCTCGAGGCTCGGGTAGACCGGCGCGGGTGGGTCGCATTCAATCTCCAGGTCACGCAGCGCCTGGTTCAGGTTGCTCAAGAGCTGGCCGCAGATGAGAGCGTTGCTGAGGCCGTCGGTGACCGTGTGGCAGAGCGACAGGTACAGAACAGCGCGGTGCAGTGGCGCCGCCGGTGCCGCAAAGTTGGCGGGGCTGTGCAGGAGGCCGGCCTTCCACAGCGGGCCCTCTCGCGTGTCGATCGTCTGCTCCTGCAGCTGGCGGTGGTGCTCCGCCAGCCAGTCCTCGCCAGGTGGCAGCACCGTCAGATCCACGCCGGGACAGCGGCCAGCCACCAGGAAGCTGGCGTTGTCCCGCTGTTCGACGCGTGCCCGCAACACCGGAATCTGCCTGCAGGGCACAGCAATTCCCAGTAAACGCCGTCTGATGAGGCTGAAGCTGGCAATGATGGAACCGCAGAACTGATGACAGCTGGTGGTCCCCAATGCAACAATGTCTGAGAGCATTACCCTCGGGGCATCGGCACTACACTCTTCAGACATATAGTAAAATGCAAGGGACAGGCAGGCCAACCAATCACGAATATGAGACGAACTCGCCAGCAGTGGCTGAACTCCTCGCCTGCAGGTGGCGGCCAGACATGTAGCGCCACCCACAAAACACCACAGGATCTGGTGCTTCATTTGTAATCTGTTTCAACTGGCTGAAACCACCCTGAGCGATGCAATACAATGTATTTGACAACGAGCGAGACGTGATGAAATTACGACAAGACGCCAATAAACCTGCACTTATACCTAAACAACTCTTCTAAGCCTACTCCCGCACCTGCACGTCACACAATCGCAGACACATCTTCAGTACATCTGTCTGCGTTTACCACCACTACATGATCCTCTGCCATTGTTCTGCGCACCTCTGCCGTACCAGTGCTCACCTCCCCACCTCTACTACGCCAGAGCTCACCTCTGCGCACCTCTGCCGCGCCAGTGCTCACCTCTGCCACGCTAGAGCTCACCTGTGCACATTTCCGCTGAACCAGTGCTCCCCTGTGCGCAACTCAGTCAAATCAGTGCCCACCTGTGCACACCTCTGTGAAGCCAGTGCCTACCTTTGCGCACCTCTGCCGCGCCAGTGCTCGCCTCTGTGCACCTCTTCCACGCCAAAGTTCATCTCAGTGCACCTCTGCCACGCCAGAGCTCACCTCTGCATGGCCTCTAGTGCCGCGCGCACCTTCGGTGGCTCTAGCTGGCGCTCCGAGTCGACCACCAATGAGTACTGCAGCAAGCTGGTGCCACCCAGGCGGGTGAATACCTCGTGCCACATGGACTCCTGCAGGCCCAGTCGGCGCAGCACCTGGCCCTCCCTTAGCGCTTGCATGGTGACTTGGGTGCTGCCGACAGCTGCCCGGCAAACTACACAGCTGCAGCAACTGAGGACAGATGTGCAACAACATGTCAGGATGGACTGTGGTGGTTGTGATGCGTAGTGATCAGTGGTGGTGGTGGTGGTTGAACAGCCTGACTATTGAGGCATGGTGATCAGTGGTGGTGGTGGTTGTTGAGCAGTCTGACTAAAGAGGTGCAACATGACATTGGAAAGGCAGCACAGGACCTCCCAACATGCAGCTTCAACATGCTTCAGCATAGGCAAGCACTAACAAGAAAACAGCACTCACTCAGCACACACCGCAGAACTGGACAAATAAAGTACACTGGCACACGACTGCGGCTGTAGTCGTATCCTGCTCTGTTCTAGGGCCTTGGTGTCCTGCGGTCCTATCTGATCGGACAGATAAATGGATTGGTCCGCCTGCTGGTAGGTGGGGCCGACCGCCTTAGTGGAAGAAGGCAAGAAACATAGACTCGCTCCGACAGAGCCATCGCAACGCGTGGGACGAGGATGTCGTGTAAGATCGCGGGACAAAATTAAAGCTAGAACCGATTTTGATGGGCTTGTCCAGACCGGGATGAACACCCGTCACGAGATAACGCCATATGTCAACGTTCCTGAATAATCCATCGGTTTTGTATTTCACCGATCATTGAGCTACCCGTGTGGAGAAAGACCCGCCACCGACCTCCACGACCGCTGCCTGCGCGGACGGTCCACCATGCTCACAGTGAGCGAGGATGCGGCCGCTATCGTCCTGCCTGCCTGTCGACTCTAGAACTCTGCGGGAGTCGGCTGCGGTCGTATCCGATGTATACGGGCGACATTCGTTGAGAGAGCATGTGGAGCGCGGGCCCACCGCTGATGGCGACCGCCGCGGCCCCGTCGCTGGCCCGTATGGTTCCGCCGCGCTCACGTCAAGTATCGTTTGGGACCGTCGCGCTCATCGGGCGCGCGGGCCGGCCCCCTGCGGTGGTATGCTGTTCCGCGCGTAGTAGGGGAGAAAGGGGATAATCGTAATAAAACACATATTGCTGCCGAACCATTTGGGATATCCCAAAAACCCACTCGGTTTATTGTTCTACAGTTGTTCATCTTCCGGAAATGAGGCAGTCGTTTCTCGATTTTTGTGATTTTCGGTTCGGTCAAGATGAAGTCAAATAATACCTTCTTGCATCTCACGAGCATTACGGGGGCGCCGAAATTCACGACAGTGTTTGTTACAATCAATTTTCTTCAAATACTGCGGGATATTTAATGAAACCCCATCCGGGTTTAAATATAGAATTGAATGGAGATTATTGTTGTCATTTTATTTTTTGAGCGCTAAAGCCAAACCTGGTCATTTTGGTAATATATGTGCAACATCTTTTACTAATTTTCCAGAGAAATAGACTCAATGCCTAACGACATGAATATAATTTTATTAGCGAAATAAATACTTATATTACGTAGTTAGTACCGTAGTCCAATCAGTATACTGCTATTTTGGGACGTATGGCAACTTGCAATATATTGCAATTACATGTATTTTCAGGGGAGCATAATGAATTCTTATCTGGCTTAGCAGTAGCGCGTTCCTCATGCGATCTTCTTTGATATAATCACAGTAGGTACCTGATTGCTACTTTCTCATTGATATGTCCGGCACACGTTTTGGCTGCGCATGTCATCGCCATCAAGGATATTGACAGGACGGGGGGGGGAGGGCAAATATTGCTCCTGCATTATTTTCCCGACTAATTATCACAGTTACACGCAAGAAGTGGCATTTGAAAGCCCTCAATGAGACGGACCTTAAACACGCTCAAATTTCTGACAAATTTTGAAATCGATGTAACGTGTCAGGTCAAAGTCAGGTCATATGTCGAAAACGAGTTTATTACACTTTGGCCCATGTATACTGTAGAAGGGGCAGCTCCCAGCCACGTCTGCGCCACAACACTACGTGTTATGTGACTATACCATATTATGACTATACAATACCATGCCATAATTTACAGCCTTTATACTAAGTTACGTGTAAAGGTCCAGGGTCGTGAAATTTCAAAAGAAATACTTTATAATATTACAAAGAGCTTCTAATCGGTGCTTGCTACACAAAATGGAATACGAAGCTGCAATGGTCATTCTGTAGTTTGCAACATAGTATTAAAAAAGCATCGTCTTCAGCTTAAAGAATACCACTTAACACCAATGGACTTGCGGCTGTGGTCCGCGGCCTTGCAGCAAAAATGATGTACTGCTAGTTAAATAACCAATAATTGTGTAAAGTGGAAACATTTAAAAATTAAATATCACAAAATTCACATGCACATGATGGGTCAGGGTGTACTTTCCTACCTAATGCTAGGAAAAAAATCATTGTTCACTATTCATCGTATTTAAGGATCAGGACATATCGTAAATAATCACAAACAGGTAGACTTCATGCGTCTTACTGGTTGGGGGGGGGCTTGTGCTGGTTGGGTTGGGTGGGGTTTCCAGCGGTGGGCGTCGCGCGCGGATGCCCTGGCCGCCGCTGGATGTTACACGCCGCCGGTTGCCGCTGTCACGCCCTCCCACGAGAGCAAATTTATAATGAGGAGCCCACTGGTCAGCATACGAGCCCGATGATGTTAGCGCACGGCTCGACACGTTGTGGCTCCGGTACACCCGACATCAACACACACTCATGTGAGCCACAGAGCTAGGATGAAGCGGGTGACCGGGGCATTGGCGGGATGGCGGATCCGGTCAGGCACCATGAACGGCTGTCTCCCCGCCCATGGCTGTGCGCCCTTAACCACGGTATCCACCTCCACCCTTAAGCTAGCGAAAATATTTAAATGGGGCAAAAATGGGATTGCGTGCATACTAATACGCCCAACCGGCAAGGGTCCCCCGCACTGGCGAATTATATTGACAAGAGCCCACTGGGTAACGACCCTGGGACCCCCCCCCCCCCCCCCCCGGCCGTAACTAATCCACGCAGACTCCACGCACTCGGCGCCCATCACACTCATTCCAAGCATTCGCATACGCTGGCGCCCACATCATCTCGTTCATCCTTGGCACGCACACGGGTGGGACCCCCCCCCCCCCTTATTTCCCGCACTTTGACATTATAATTGGCTCGTCTGCATGGGTCCTCGTTAAGTTTTAATTCACTTATCACATTTCGGTCTTGTCATAAATGTACGTTTAAGCCCTGTTCAAAGCATATCACGATGATTTGCCAGCTTGACACCGACGCAGCTGCTGGGCCGACCACGAGTGTCAAAGCTGAACGGCGACTCGCTCCCTCGCCTGACCTCCAGGGTGACGGCTCCCTATTTGGACGACGCTTCCTACGTTCCGTCCACGATGGGCGGCCCCTCATTTACCCGGTTTACATGGGCAGCCGAGGATAATTCGAATTAAGATCGGAACGGATCATGCGACGTTAACCCTCTCGGCGAGGGGCGTTTACATGGGCGAAACCGGCTTTACGGCGGATTAACGGTCGATAGTTCGATCCCGCTTAGTTCAAATCAAGGAACGGATTATGAGCGGAAAGTGCGCTTTTGAGGCGAACTGAACAAAACAAGAAGAAAAAAGCCGGTACTCTGCGTATGGATGGCGAATGTCACGAACCATGGTGGGCGCGAGACAGCTTTGAGGGTGAGGAGGAAGGTGGACTCCGTTGGAAAAATGATCTGTGCGGGACTCATAGGCTTTATGGCTACAGCACAAGCCATAGCACTTGAAACACAAGAGTTGTGCAATCAGCACTGCCAAATCTGTCACATAAGCAGTGTTATGTGCAAATTTTGACTAGCGGGAAACTTTGGCTAGCGGGAAATCAGTACTTTCTTGTATTGGCCAATGACACTCACAAACTAACCACACTCATATCAGTATGCCACCCAGCATCATGTCATCTACTTTGCGCGGCCCAAGAAACACATTACCTACTCCCACACTAATGCATTTATGAGCAGCCTGCAACAGTGAGCTAAGCTACGGAAATGACTCATGAATGCTACATAGTTAGTGGCAAAAATTTGCAACTATGTTGTCTTTCCCCATCCAATGCATCTTCAGTACCTGAGGGCAGCATTGCAATTTAGACTTGGCATGGACTGGCAAGTCAGAATGCGGCTATTTGCTTTCTTGACATACTAGGGTTGAAATACTGCTTTGATATCCTTGCAGTCAACAGCATTGGCTGATATGGACTGATGGCTAGGTGGCACAAACAGCTGTGTTCGCACAGTCCAAAGATCATAACATGTGGACCAGCCCCAGAGCTGTGTCATGACAAAAGCAATCTGGGCTCAAAATTCATAACAAATGATTAATTATAACAACAGCTCAATTATCCACCTCATAGTTTGTGAAGATACATGTCACAAAAAAGCACCAAGGTAATATATTTACTCACCAGTACAAAAACAGGTAATGATGTGCACCACAGATGTTCTCTGCACATCATGTGGCATTAGGTTAGGTTTGCTTAATTTATGCACTGTTTTCTTCCACATGAAATGCACAAACCTGGATTTGACAGAGTACTGATGAGAGCTATTTTCATGCAGTGCTCACATTTGCTTTCTTGACATTTTGGAACCATCACTGAGCAATTTTGGTCCCAGCATTAAAAATAGTTCACATTCTGCACTGACTGCAATGATCTATTGCCTATATTTGTTGATCCTTTGCATCATGCAGGAATTATTGAGTTACCTATCTCACACACATTAAACCGACAAGCAAAAAACAGCCTAATTGCATCAAAAACAAATATTCCAGCCCCCGCTTCCTTGCCGGTTGGTCTACCAGTGTGACGTAACTTCATATTTCCTTGACTAGCCAGTCACCAATATCCAGCACATCCCTCCTGCCAATAGGTGGTCAACCAAATGTTCAAGTCACAGGAGGAATGTCTGCAAAATCAATCTTGGGCATTTATGTATTCACTTAATGAAAGAAACTATTGGTACTCCCTGCAAGAATTGTTGAACAGTTGAATTACCTACCTCACTGGCCTGCAGACACCCATCACAAAAAAGCACCAAGGTGACATATTTAATCACCAGTACAAAAACAGGTGATGATATGCAACACAGACGTGTTCTCCATGCAGCATGGGTTTTCTTCAATTACTTCACCTTTATAGAAGAAGAAAAATCTCCACCGCGAGCGTTTTACGCGCAGTGCGGCACGGGCTCAACCAGCTCGCGTTAGCAGGATTGCCCGACTTTGAAATCATACAATCCAAACGAGCATCTTTAGCACCAAAAGTAATGAGCAGGCAATTAACATTATTCACTACGGCGTTTCGACCACTGCTACTCACAATGCTCGCGTGATTGCCTATCATCTTCAAGAAATAACCATCTGATAATATAATAATTTCGGCCTCAAACAGGTCATATGATTTTTAACACGCGGACAGCCGACGATTTATAGGATGTACTAAAAGGGCAACATAAGCACCAAATTACGTACATTCGAGCAATCAAGAAAAGTATCCCAGTTCTTCACATTCGTGTCCTCGAATTGATGTTTCCAAACAGACAGCACAGAGAAAACCCAACAATGTCGGCGGAACTGAAGCATTTCCAGCAGTCTTAAAAACGGACCAAGCCACGGGAACCAAACACCGAAGCCAAGCCAACGTTTTCGGTGCGGTACATTGACGTCTATTAGCGCAGTGCATCTCATACACGAGTCCGGATAATGTGATTCGCACTTATTAGGACCAAACACATCGTGACGACATTGTCGCTTAAACTACAACACTTGGGTTCAATTAATATG